CTCTTGCCCCCCTGGCCACACTCGGGCTCCTCTTCAGCTCCCTGCCCAGCCCAACTCCCAGCTCCCTTCCTGCCTGGCTGCTCTCCAGCCCCTCTGGCCCAGCCTGCAGCTGCAGGGGCTTCTTGTGGCCAAAGTGGAGGGTGTTCTGCCCTTTTGGCTGGTGCAAAGTCCCAGCAGCTGGAGTGGGAGGACCCTCCTGTTCCTCAGGCGGAGTTTTCAGGCAGGTCCTTCTCTCAGGCACCTCGGGTGCAAAAGGAGTTCAGTGAACTGCTTGTTTAGATCTGGCTACACTTATTTAAGTCATTTTATCGTTGTTTTCCTTTCCTGTACCTCGTGAAAACGAGTCCCTTGGAAAAGCAGGAGATCAATTCTCCTTTTAAATGTCAGCAGTGTCTTTATTCACCAGTGAGGCAGCCAGGACCTTCTGGGTTGCTGCTGTTTATTTACTCTTTTATTCCCGGCCTTCAGCTTTTTCCCTTTTGTCATATTGTGTTTGTGTTCAACGTGACTTTTTTTCCTTACAGTTGTGACCCCTCCCGTTGTTTTCTTTAAACCTTTCTCTGTTGTTTGTTCACGTTTTCATATCTGTTGTCTGAACTCAGAATAAACTGCTTTTCCCAGGCAGAAAGGGTTTGGGTTTTTAGTCTGAACAACCCATTCTTTGGGAAGAAATTCCTCCCTCTGAGGGTGGGGAGGCCCTGGCACAGGTTGCCCAGAGAAGCTGTGGCTGCCCCATCCCTGGAAGTGTCAGGTTGGAGCAACTTGGGATAGTGGAAGGTGTTGGGACTGGAACTGGATGATCTTTAAGGTCCCTTCCACCCAAAACCATTCTGTGATTTCACAATTTTACGATTATTCCGGGGGTTTTTTCACCCTGAAAAACCATCTAGTTGAGGATTTTCATTTTATCTGTGCTCGCTTCCAGACCTGGGGAGGTTTAGAGAAAACCTTTCAGGAGAATAAATAGATTTAACTGCAAACAGATTGAAAAAACTTTTTGACTTTTTGAAAGCAAGAATCTTGACAAATACCTTGTTAGCGCTTAGATTGTGGTTTGTTGTAAAAGGCTAAATTAAACCCTTCCAAATTGGATGTTATGCTAAGCAAATGTTTAGCTACATTTTCTTTTTGAGGCAATTAAGCCCTGCTCTAAACTGCCTGTGACCTTTAAACAAGCTGCCTAATGGTGCTGCTGCCACAGTTATTTGCTATAAACTGGCAATTTTTAGCTTATACAAAGCAGAGCTCTTTTTTCAGGCTCATTTCGTTGCTCCTTATTCCTCCAAAAGGTCTCTGCCTATTGGAGGTAATAATGAATAGATATAAGATAAGTAGATTTGGACATCAGAAATGACTGTTAGATTACCTAAGCCAAATTCTGTGGTAATCCAGGCCAATATCTGAATTATTATTTGCCTGAATTACAGTTGTTGTGTTTTTATGAGCAGCTTTCAATAGGAGAGCCAGATTTCTGAATTAAAGAAGGTGGTGGGAATTACCTGGAATTTCTTTGGGTGGTATTTGCTTATTTTAATCAGCTTTTTAAAGAAGAAAAACCAAGATATTTGTTTTGATTCACTTCCCAGGCTGTTTTCTCTTACTGTAGCTCCTCTCTGCACCCCAACCCCTGCCAAAATTATGTGGGGAGCCCCCTTACCTCTAATTATCCTTGTGTCCAGGTACTCCAACTTCAGAAAATAGATAAAAATCACTTTTTTTCCATTTACCTGGGCCGTGTGTGTGGAAGAAAGAGGCTTAAAGGACCCTCAGGTGCTTTTTCTGGACCCTTGAACGACTTGTGGTTCTCCTGGACATCTAATTTTCAGGTTCTCTGGGAGAGGCTGCTTTTCCATTATCAGGGGCTAACTGAGGGGGGATAATTCTTCCCCTCCCTGTCCAATTCCATTTATTAGTCCTTTTGTTGGCAGGAACAGCCCCCAGTGGGGAATGGGAGTGTTAAAAACCAGGGAACTACGTGGGAAGGGTGGTTTGAGCTCGGAGAGAGGGGGGGGGAAGGAAGGGGGGGAAAGCTAATTAAATGTGGTACCATTGCATGTTTAGAGCATCTTTAAAATGTGATACCACTGAATGTTTAGAGAATCTTTAAAATGTGATACCACTGCATGTTTTAGAGCATCTTTAATCCTCATTATCCACCACACAGCTAGGATGAGGAGCCAAAGGCAGGGGGGTGTTAATTGTACCCTCAGTTCTCCGTGTGTGTGGGGGGACAGGGAAAACAGGATTCAGTTCCCTCACTGACTTGGAGCCAAACTCCTCCAGAAGTGCCCAAACTCAGAGGTGACCATCACCAGGTCCTGGCTGGACAGAGGGAGAAAATCCTTCTGGATGGGAGGGATGAAACCCCAGGAGATCAGGAGGCACCGGGAGTCTCCAGATGTTCCGCCCCTGAGCCGATGGGGAAGTCAGAGCTGCTTGGAAGCGGAATGAGAAGCTTCCAGGGGTCTCTTCCAAGCTGGGGCAGCCTAGTGACTGCGTGGGGGGGTTACAGTGCCTTTGGAATTGGGAAATTTTGGGCACATCCCTACCTACTGCCAAAGGAAAAAGAGGAAAACTGGAGCTTCTGCCGGAGATTTCCGAGCTGGGTCCGCTGAGCTGCTCCATCCGGGTGTGCTCTGGGATTTGGGTGACCTCTCCTTTTGGGAGAGGGAAATCGGGGTTTTTGCTTCATCTGTGGTGTGGGTTCCTGATGTGTCCTGGCCCAGCTTCCCTGGCTGTTCCCAGATGGATACTGGGAAGGAAGAGGGTGGACGATGCTTTGTGTCCAGTGATGGGAACCCCAGAAGTGCTGGTTGATGGGGTTGGGAGGAGCCTGATGAATTAATTAACACTGGGACACTAATTCCTGCTCCAGACTGAGCTCCATCCTACAGGCTGCACTCTTTCCTCGTCCATGCAGAGAAGGGAATTCACAGGGAGGGATTTCCTGACAAAAATTTTTTCAGGAGTGAGGAAAAAGTGCAGCTTCCTCTTAGCAACCTCTCCTAATTTAAACAGCCTGGCTGTCCCAAGGCTATTCCAGGGTTATTCCTGACCTGCAGGCAAGCAGTGGAATTCACTGGTGATAGATGTTCTTGGAGTAGAGATAATATTTACTGGTACTGAGGGACCAGCCCCTGGCTGGGCTCTGCTCACTGTTATCTCCTGCCTTTTAATTTTTAATGTTTAACTGACAGGTTTGTTATGAACCGAAATCCTCCAGTGCAAGCAAACCTCTTGTTTCACCACCAGCATCTTCCCTTAGTAGGGAAGGGGTTTTTAAATTTCATTTTCAACCTCTGCATGCCCAAACCTCTTGTTTCACCACCAGCATCTTCCCTTAGTAGGGAAGGGGTTTTTAAGCTTTATTTTCAACCTCTGCATGCCCAACATGCTGTTCTTGGTTTCTTACAACATCCCCACCGAGGGTTTTGGAAGCTGCAGAGGGACACTTTGCTTTTATTTATTTATTAGCAGCCGTGGAAGTGAAAGAGAAAACCAGGAGGGACGTGAAGTTGTTGCTTTTATGCACTGATTTATCGTTCCTGGTGGAATATTTGGGTTTTGTCCACGTTTGTTTTTAGGATATCAATGAGATTTAGGTTCCTTGCTCTGCTGGTCACTGCTTAAGATATTCAGCTGTAGTTACACCAATAACGCCTGTGCAGCCTGAAAGATGTGCTTTCTGAAATTTTTCCAGCTGCCTCATGATATCACTTTAGGAAAATAAAATTTAAGCTGTTTTTCTCCCCGTTTATAGGGTAGGGAATAATGTTTTGTTGGTACTGCTGTAATGAAAAGAATAGCAGCAGTCCAACATCAGTGCCAGTATCTTGTTTTGACAGTTTTCTACTTGATAATCCTCCTGTTTTGGGATAAATTGTGCCTTGATATTTATTATAATGTCTTTATTTTGAATAAGATAATATTTTTATTATATATCATGTTATCATATAATATATGCATATATTATGTATAAATATATAAAGATCTAAATATATCAATTTATATATATTTATTGAAATATATATTTATATATTTATATACTATTTCAATAAATATATATTTATATAAATGCATAATAGTTGTAAATATATAAATATATATTTGTATATAAAATATATAAAATAGAATAATATATAGATAATAAATAATATTAATAGTATATAATATAATGATATATAATTATAATATAATAACATATTATATATAATATATCCTATAATATAATGATATATAATTATAATATAATAATATTATATTATATTATATATAATATATCCTTTAATATAATGATATATAATTATAAAACAATATAATAATATAATATAATATTATGTATAATATATATTATAATATATAACAATATAAAATAACAATATAATAGAATAGAATAATGAATATACAAAGAATATATAAAATATGTAAACACATATTTATAAAAATATTAAATTTATTATATTTTTATTATATTATTTTATAGTGTATATGTAATATATATAATGTTATACTATGTTATATTGTATATTATATTAGTATAATTTTTATAATTTATTATAATAATATTTATAGATTATTATAATTATAAATTATTATATTATGAATAAATTATTATACTATATTATAAATTATTATAATATTATAGTATTATAAATAAATATTATAATATTATAATTTAATATAATAATTATACCAGTTAATTATTATATTAATGAACTGTGTTCTCACTAACTTGTTTTACACGCGTGCTCCAAATATTCGAAGACTGCACCTTAGATGTGAGTTTTTTGGGAATTGGACCCTTCCACATGTTGAACTTCGTTTAGGAATAGAAATAAAGAACTATTACTTCAAGGTTTTCTGCTTTACAAAGGTTTTGGGGATAGAATCACCCTGATATTCAGACACCCCACTGCCCAAAGAGCTGAGGGATGAATGATATTTAGAGGAGATTTAAGACAGGCCTGACCTTTCAAAGCCGTCCCGTGTTCTCCCGGCAGGTGTCGGCCGTGGATTCCTTGGAAGGTCCCCTCCTGCAGGTGGAAGGGCTGAGTGACCTGAGGCTGGAGCTGCACAGCAAGAAGATGAACCTGCACCTGGTGCTGATCGACGAGCTGCACCGGCACCTCTACATCAAATCCACCAACCGCGTGGGCCAGCGCGGCAAGGACAGGGGCAGGATCGGGTGTGTCTGGGCTGGGGTGGGACAGGGCAACAGTCCTCCTGCCCTGGGGAAAGTGAGGCACTTGGGCACTGCCTGCCGTTGGTTTTCAACTCTGGGTAGTAAAAAAACCCAGATCTGAAGTTCTGGAGCTGATGGGAATCTCCTGTCAGACCTCCTGGATGGGGAATAGAGCGGGAGATGCCCCTCCTGACGAATGGAAGTCCTGTCCTTTCAGTACCTTTGGTGTCATAGAATCATGGAATCAACTGGGTTGGAAAAGACCTCTGAGATCGTCAAGTCCAACCCTTGATCCACGACCTTCACGGTTCCCAGCCCATGGCACTGATGCCACATCCAGTCTCTTCTTAAACACCTCCAGGGATGGAGAATCCCCCACTTCCCTGGGCAGCCCATTCCAATGGCTGAGCACCCTCTCTGCAAAGAAATTCTTCCTGATATCCAACCTAAACCTCCCCTGGCACAGCTGAAGACCGAGCCCTCTTGTCTTGCTGATGGTTGCCTGGGAAAAGAGCCCAACCCCCCCCGGCTCCCCCCTCCTGGCAGGGAGTTGCAGAGAGTGAGGAGGTCTCCCCTGAGCCTCCTCCTCTCCAGGCTGAGCCCCCCCAGCTCCCTCAGCCTCTCCTCCCAGCACTTGGGCTCCAGTCCCTTCCCCAGCCTCGCTGCTCTTCTCTGCCCCTGCTCCAGCCCCTCCAGGGCCTTCCTGAGCTCAGGGCCCAGAGCTGGACACAGCACTCCAGGGGTGGCCTCCCCAGTGCTGAGTCCAGGGGCAGAATCACTTCCCTGGACCTGTTGGCCACCCTGTTCCTGAGCCAGGCCAGGATCCATTGGCCTTCTTGGCCACCTGGGTACACTCGGGCTCATGTTCAGCTTCCTGTCTTCCTGGTTGTTTTTTTTTTTAATTGCCAGTGTAACACAAACCTTAAATATGCTCTGAAAACAATTCTGTTGACACTTGGCACATTTGTGGAGATTGGCTGCCCCATCCTTAGAAGTGTCCAAGGCCAGGCTGGATGGGGCTTGGAGCAGCCTGGGATAGTGGAAGTTGTCCCTGCCCATGGCAAGGGGTTGGAATGAAATGAGCTTTAAGGTCCCTTCCAACCCAAACCAGTGTGTGATGAGGATTTAAATGAAGGTTCTGGGGTACAAACAGGGCTGGTTGTCAGGTGGGTTTGGGGGGCAGCAGGTCTGGGAGTGAAGAGGACAACATTCCCCCTGTCCTAAGTAGGAAGTTGGCAGAGTACCATCAACTTACACCCCAACCTTTCATTTTTGCCATGCAAATTCCTCATTTTTCTGGCTGTGGAGAGCAGGAAAACTCAAACATGTCGATGGACCTTCAGTCCTTTTCTCGTTCCTTCACTTTACTGGTTCTCTTGGGTGTTTGCTGCTTCCCAGAGGGTTCTGCTGAGCCCAAATCCCACTCTTTTCCTTCCCTGGTACTTCCACCTTTCCTACAAATGTCATGATGGTGAGGCTCAGGTCAGGCAAAGGGAAGAAGGTGGGGGAAAATGGCTCATTTTCTAGCAAACATCCACATTTTAAAAGATGTAACCATAAAGTTTCTAAACAGATTTCTAAAGGTTAATAGATGGAGGCCACAATATTGAAGCCAGAGCTGAATTCTCTTGGCTTTGTTGTGTTTCCAAGGTGTTTTAAAGATGTTGAAACTTCTTTACCTGGTTTGGTACCTCTGGGAATTCACCTGAATTATAGGGCACCTGGCTATTTATTCCTAATTTTGCTGATTCTGTGTTTGAGGGCAAGAGTTGTTGAAGGGAAGGAAGGAAGGCAGTGCCTAGAAAAGAGAAACACAGTGTTTGGAATAAACAGGGGCGGGGAGCAAAAGGGGAACCAGCATATGATAAAGATGCAGAGAAAAGATAAATTAACATTTTATGAGGAGAAGGACTAAAAATCTGCCTCCCCAAAAAGAACAGGTGAGACAGGAAGTTGCATGAAATGAATTTATGAAATGAAGGACTGATTAAAATTGAAATTTCCTTGGAAGGAGCGTTGCTGGCAAGTCAGCAGCCCCTTCCTTACTCATCTTGTTAATTAAAAACAGACACAAAGCTTTGGTGTACCCAGTCTGGGGCACTGCTAATTAACTGCAGTTTGGTGTGGCTGCTGTAGGGACCTTTCTATTATTCTGGTTTGTCTTTTTTTTTTCCTCATTCCCTGTTGCACATCCTGGATATTTGATGACTTGAACTCTCCCAGCTTTTTGCTTTGGTTAATGTGCTGTCCTGGACTGGCTGGTTGACCAGGGTGCAAAAATATTTATGATTATTTCTTGTATTGATTTTAAGTGGGTTTTATCCAACTTTGGAACACACAGTTAATCCCTGAAAGCATGATTTTGTAGGTGTATAAGGAATACAGGTGGTTCTTATGCAGGATACCCTTATTTTTGCAGTTCTCCATAAGCATTTTGACCTCTGAGCAAACATCCTGAACTCCATTACAGGAGCCCTCTGCCTTTTTTTTCCTCCTAAAAATGATTTCTTGTGTCCTCCTGCCACGTCCAGCTGTCAGTGTGCAGTGTGACACATTTCTGGCTGCTAATACAGTGTGAATTTATGAGGAAAATGGCCAAGCAGAAAGTCTTTAACTCCTGAGTAAGGAGGTCCATTTGGGATGGGATGCACCTGGGTGGGCACAGAACAGGAAGGAGAGGAAAAAGTTTGGAGGTTTCTGGTGGAAACAGAAGAGTTTGAAGGATTGGAAGTCAATGGAAGCCATGGGAAGAGGAGCATCTAAAATTTAAGGAATAAATGGGTTATTTGCTGCGAGCAAAGATTGTAAATAACAGCAAAGTATTTGCTTTAATTGTTTCCCCTCCCACAGCTCCCTGGTGAAAGATGCCTCTCCTGTGCCTCTGATGGATGTCACTAATTTATCCACACCTCGGAAGTTCCTGGAAACCTCCCAGTTCAGCACTCCTGGAAGCTCCAGCAGTGAGTATTTAAGTCATACACGTCCCTCAGAGAAGGAATTTGTAGCTCTTCAGCTGATTTTACAGGAGTAGCAGGAGGAACATCATCCCCTCTCCACCTCTGGCTGCTGAGGGGAGGCCCTGAGACTAAAACCTGGGAAGGGATTTGTGCAGTGCCATGAGGGATTGGCGTGTCCTGGGGCAGAACTGGCCCTATCTGCTTTTTAATTTTGGAAAATCATCTTTCCCCCCTGCTGTCCTCATCAGCTTCAGTTAAATACACTTAATTTTCTGTGCCTGTCCTCACCTTGATCACGAGTTTGGCTCAGTTTATGTGGGGGTCTCCCCTCCATTACTTCCCAGAGGTTTGTGTGGGTATTACTGAAGTTTTTTTTGCAGTGTTGGAGCCAAAAAGGTCAAGTCTTTCCCTTGTGGGAGCTTTGGCTCAAGGTGTGTCTGTACACAGGAATAATCCCGTGATGATCTTTGTGCTGCTACAACAAACACTGAGCAAAACCGTTGTTTTATTGGTGCTTTCGTGGGAGGCTTTGCAAGGGCTGCAGAGGTGGGGAATTAATCCTTGTATTGTTTCAGAAGATTAATAAGTGGGGTTGTCCTTGATGAATAATACAGAGTTGACCTAAGTCTTTCCCCCCCTTCCTTTCAAAACCTGACTGTTTCAGTATTCCTCAAATGCAGAGAGTGTTCCCTTCTCATCCTTATTAATTCTTTTGTCCTTTTGCTTCTGGGTTTGTCACACTCCCCTCCTAGATCCTTCTCTTTGATTATTCTTATCTTTTGCTCTTGTAGGGGTTTTGTTGTTTAGCTCTGCTCCTGCAGGGCTGCTCTCAGAGCCTGGGGCTGTTTTTCCCTGGAGTGGAAGGTTTGTGAGGAGTCACTTGTGATCTGCCAAGGGAACCTTTCAGGGCTGGAAAGTGCATCAAAAAACCTGGAAGAGAGGAACTGTATGAAAATTCTGAGGGAAAAACTTAAGAATTCCTGTTCTGCTCTGTGTTCAGTGAGAAATTCAGTTCAGTTTCTTGCTAAAAATCACATGGTTTTGGGGAACTGAGGAAACAAACCACAAAAATCTGAATCCCAGTCTGACCACTGTGAACAGAATGGGTTGGGTTGGAAGGGCCCTTCAAGATCGTCTGGTTCCAACCCCTGTAAATGTTAAAACAATTCCTTTTCAGTGAGGGAGTTCTGCAGTGCCTGCCACTGTTTTTTACCTAAAATATCAGTCCTCTGTACAGTAGGAAAACCAAAAAGTCTGAGGTTCTGGAGCTGATGGGAATCTCATGGATGGGGAATAGAGCAGAAGATGCAACTTCTGATGAATGGAAATACCTTTGGTGTCTTCCTGATTTGGTTTTTTTTTTGATTGCCAGTGTAACACAAACCTTAAATATGCTCTGAAAACAATTCTGTTGACACTTGTCACCTTTAAAGACTCACAGTTCCCAGTCAATCCCTGTCACATCTCTGGAGATTTGGCTGCCCCATCCCTGGAAGTGTCCAAAGCCAGGTTGGACAGGGCTTGGAGCAACCTGGGCTAGTGGAAAGTGTTGGGGTTGGAACAAGATGGTCTTGAAGGTCCCTTCCAACCCAAACCATTCTGTGATGGTGATTTAAGTGAAGGTTCTTGGGTACAAACAGCAGTGGTTGCTTGTGAACATGAACCAGCTGAATACCTGCAAACAAAGGCTCTGGTGGCTTCATCCTTAATGCCTTAAATTCTTGGTTTTTTGCAGATCTCTTCTTGCTCTTCACACCCAGCACACCAGAAAATCTCTTCCTTGGCTCCTCACTCTGCTCTTTGTCACTCAGTGAAGTGCTGGGCAAGTGTCCCTCAGACTGGGAAAGCTGCAGATCATAATAGAAAACATTTGATCAGCATAAAGTATGCATATGGTTTTGCTTCAAGTGCACAATGTACTTATGGAGATTTTTTCCCTGTAATTTTATTTAAAAGTAGCCTTTTCCAGGACTGCACAACTAGCAGAGAATTTAAAACTTATGTGTATGCATAACAAAAGCTGTTCCTGCCTTTAGTCACTTAAGTTCTTTTTGGCTTTTTTATTGATGAAACAAAGTGGCCTTGCATATTAATGGGTGACATTATAAAGCACTGACTCACTTGACTTGTCTCAGCAAAGATGCCAAAATTTGGAGTCCTTCCTGCCTTCCCTTCCCAAAGGAGGTGTTGCCTTGTGCTGTAGAATCTTTATAAGGGAATTAAAGCTGTTCCTGCTGCATGTAAAATAAACAAAGCCCTCAGTAATGCTCACCTGAGGATTGCAGATATGGCACTTCACCAGTAACATTTTTCCCTTCATGCCAGTTCAGAGAAATAAATCCACTTTTAAATGATATTTCTCTGCTTGAACCTTCTGTACTCTGAAGAGTATTTGTGGAGGTTCCTGCTTTGCCAGGCTCTTCCTGGAACTCTAGAACGTGCTCACCTGGTTCACAGCAAGCCCAAGAGTGCCCTTCCCTGAGAAATTTGGGAGAATTCTGCTCAGGAATCCCACAGAAGATGGGCTGTGATGGTGAAAATTAATATTGTTATTGATGGCATAGGTAAATTTGAGGCTGAATTGATAATTTGCTTCAGTGACCTTTTTTCCCCTCAGTGATAGGAGAGAAATGGAACTTCTAAATCCAGGCAGTGTGGTGGTTCTAAGGGCAGCTCTAGTTGCTGCTCCTGCCTCTCTTTCTTCAAAAACCAGCTATTTTTGTGGAGGCGAAAACTTGTGGAGACCTGGGAACTTGCTCCTGGAAAATCCCTGCAGGAGCCAGAGCTTTAAATATCCAGTTTTAAGGGTGACTCCAAAAATGCCATTGTGCCACATTGTTGCTTCCACTTCAAACATGCTCAATAAATACTTAAAAGATATTTTTTTTCTCACCTGAGGATCTGGGTGGTTTTTCTCCAGCATTTTTCCTAAATTATAAATGATCTGGGGGTGTGTTTGGGGAAAGAAAGGGGAAATCAGGGAGATTTTAGAGCCATGAAAGCCAGAAGAGTTAACACATAGTTACTCTCCCTGTATAATTTCATTATTAGTTCCTGTGTGTGGTCCCATCATCAGATATTTGACCACAGGGCACTTATTTTTTTATTTGGAGACTTGGTTTTCATGCTTGTTTAGGTTAGGAGGATTTTAAACTTGGCTTTTCTTCTGGACTTCATAGTTACAAATCTTTTAAAGTTCTCATTTCTGCAGTAACTGTCCATTTGTTGCTCCCTGGCTCCAGGAATGTGTTGGAACAAGGATTCAACACCAGGAATGAGCCGGTGACGTTCCTTCAAGTATGAAATGATGGCTTTGGGGCACCAGGAACTCATGTGCTTTCCTCTGGCAGGTTTGAAGGCAGAAAGGGCATAATCAGGAGGACATAAATCATGGAAAATAGCACATTAAATTTTACTGGAGTCCCATAAAATCCCCCGGCTAATGAAACTTTCAGTAACGAGCAGCAGCAAATTTTGGAGTGAAAAACAAGACCCAAGAGCCTTTTCTTCAGCTGCTTTGCTTAAATGAGGTGCCAACATTGACTTTTTGGGGGAATCAGACCAGCCCTTGCAGCAGGTTGGGTTCTTGGGAAGCGGCAGAACTGGACAAATGAAGGAATTCCCAATTGGCAGAGAAGGTTTATAGGGCATCATCAAAGCAGGGATCTGTTCAGGGAACCTTCCACCTTTGAAACCATGGCAGTGAAGGAAACAGTGATGCACATGGTTCAAATTTTAGTGACAGCTTTTGACTGCTTAAACATGGGGTTGTGCATTTTCAGGTGAAAAAATGATGCAGTGATTTAATTTTTTTTTGAAAATGGCCACCAGAGAATGAGGCAAAATAATCATTCTTTTAAGTTGTTGTCTCAGGAGGCTTTTGAGAAGCCATATTTGCATGTTCTCCTTCATGAGGGGTTTCCAGAGGTTGTTAGGACAGGAAGATCAGCCAATTCCCCTTGGATTATGGGGGTTCATTCTGCTCTCCATCCCTGTTTTCCAGCTCAGGGCACTGGGTACCCCCAGAACTGGTCTTGCTGTTAAAGGCTGAGGCAAAAGAAGGCATTTGGTACCTCAGGCTCTCCCTGAACTTCTCTCACTATTTTCCCCACATCCAACAGAGGATGGAGATTCTCCTTGGCCCTCCTTTTGTTGCTGATGTATTTATAGAAACATTTTTATTGCCTTTTACAGCCAGATTAAGTCCTGACTGGGCTTTGGCCCTTCTTTTCTCCCTTCACAACCTCACAGCATCCTTGTGTTCCTCCTGAGTTGCCTGTCCTTTCTTCCAAAGGTCAGAAACTCCTTTTTTCCTTGAGTTCCAGCCACAGCTCTTGGTTTTTATCCTTTAGGATTTTCTTCTTGGTGAATGTCCAGCTTTCCTGGACCCCTTTGCCCCTCAGGACAGGCTCCCAATGGTCTCTCACCTCAACAGGCCCTGTGACAGTCCAAGGTCCCTGTTCTGCTGACCCCCCTCCTTCCTTTTGGGATTTGAAGGTGGGAATAAGTTCTGACAGCCTCCTGCTTTTGTCTTCATCCCAATGAATAACAAAGTAATTCATGTTCCCAGTTTAAGAGTAAATACAGGCAAAGCTTTCACTTCTGAGGGCTGATCTGTTGGGGCTGATCTTCCTTCACCTCTGCCCATGTGGGGATGCAGTTTTCGAGGTGAGCTCCTTAATAAATGCCTGTGTCCTTTGATGCCTTTCTGGGAGAGGAAGGGGACGGGAGGGGCTCATTCCTGAGCCAGAGCTTTGTGGTCAGGCAGCCCCTTGGTGACATTAAATGGCAGCAGAGGACGTTTGAAGCGTGGAAGACACGAGAAAAGAGCCTCTTCAGTTACCCGGGGTTGGCGTCTTGTCAGATCTCACAGATGAATGAGGCCCCAAATCCACCCAGGATTCCTGTTTAATAAGCACAACGGGCAGGAAACACACTTGAAAACAGGTTTCATCAAACCACCAGATCTAACAAAACTTCCCCTGCCACGTGCTGCTCCCAGATATCGAGCTTTTCACTTCGCTGTCATCTGTCAGGGATGCAAATCCACGTCCTGACCGTTTGGGGGGGTGTTGGAAATCGGTTTGCTCTTTTGGAAATGCAAGAGCCTTCCTCTTAGCGTGTGCTTGGCAGAGTTCTCAGCAAGATTGCTGCTTTTACTCCTCTTAAATGCTGCTCTCCCATTTGGATACGGCTCCATTTCCTCCCTCTCGGGTTTTCGTTGTGTGATATTAAGAATAATTCACAGCCCTCTTACAAAGGAGCTGCAGAGCCGTGGTGGGGGCTCTGAGAAGCTGCTCAAGCTGAGAACTATCCTCACTGAACTCAGAGAAACAGGATATTTTGGGTTTTTAAAAGAAAACAACAGGTTAAGCCTTTCTTCCTGTGCTCTTTTCACAGCTCTCGTTGCAAGGAGCTCGTTTTCCCTGTTTGTGCCTGGCGTGCTGTGGGTTTTGGGGGAATAACAAATGGCATTAAGAGGGTGGGTAGACACGATGTCTGCAGCACTCAAAGTGCTTTGCAGCCTCGTGGGGTGAAAGGTCTGTGATGGAGGAGAGCTTTGAGCAGGAATATGTTTGCATCCAGTTGTTAACTTCCAATTGGTGTTATGGGTTATGCCTGTTTGAGGTGTCTCTATATTATCCTTGGGTTTTTTGCTGCTTTTTTAGAAAAACAAATTAATGCACTCTCTGTGTTTCTAGTTGTTTGTCTCGTAGCTTGTTCAAATTTAATTGCAAAGAGTGTGTGTGAGAGAGAAAAAGAAGCACTATTTGATCTTCCTGATGTCTCATAATCACAAAACAGTTTTGAGTTGGAAGGGCCTTTTTAAAGGCCATCCAGTCCAACCCCCCCTGTCATGGGCAGGGACACCTTCCACCATCCCAGGTTGCTCCAAGCCCCATCCAGCCTGGCCCTGGACACTTCCAGGGATCCAGGAGCAGCCACAGCTTCTCTGGACAACCTGGGTCAGGGCCTTCCCCCCTTCCCAGCCAGCAATTCCTTCCCAGTATCCCATCTCTCCCTGCCCTCTGGCAGTGGGAAGCCATTCCCTGTGTCCTGTCCCTCCAGGCCTTGTCCTCAGTCCCTCTCCAGCTCTCCTGGAGCCCCTTTAGACCCTGCAAGGGGCTCTCAGCTCTCCCTGGAGCCTTCTCTTCTCCAGGGGAACATTCCCAGCTCTCCCAGCCTGGCTCCAGGGCAGAGGGATCCAGCCCTGGGAGCAGCTCCGGGACCTCCTCTGGACTCTCTCCAGCAGCTCCACGTCCTCCTGCTGTTGTTCCCAGGGCTGGAGGCAACTCTGCAGGGGTGTCTCCCCTGAGGGGGCAGAGGGGCAGAATCCCCCCCTGCCCTGCTGTCCCCGCGGTGGGATCAGCCCAGCTTGGCTTTCTGGGCTCAGTCCTGCCCTGCTGGCTCCTACCCAGCCTCCCGTCCTCCATCTCCTCACCCAAACCCTGCTCTCATTCCCTGTCCCATGTGGTGCCCTCCCAGGATCCATTCCCACCTCGCTCTTCCCTGGCAGCATTTCTGGGTTGGGATGAGGAGTGTGGGAACAGTGGGTTTGGTTTGAGCCAGAGGGGCCGTGGTTGGGATCACTCTGCTGCAAAGAACCAACTCTCTGCATTGTTGGAGCCTGAAATCGGTGTGAGCTGGCACTGAGAGGAGTGTTATCTGTTTATTGTGATTATATTTATGAAGTGGCACCATATGGGCTCTTTGGGACATTGTTTTCTTGGTCTTGCTCTAACTCAGAGCTGCTGCTGCTCCTCCGTTCAGAGTCGCGGCTTCAGACAGCTCCTGCTCCTCGTGACGTGCCATTTCTCATCCCTGCCATGTTCCTTCAATCCTCCTGCTGGATCTTTTGACATTTATTCAGCTTCTTGGAGAAGTTTTTTGAGTAAAAAAATCTGTTGAGGAGTTGGAACCATGGGAGTCATCTGTCACCCACCAGCCCTTCCCAAAGGAGGATGGAACAGCCGTCGGGGGGGTTCATTTTTATCCAAGGATCTGGTGGCTGTGGATCTTCCAAGATGCTTTGAGTGGAGTTTGCCTTGAAGACACACTTAACTTCCCATAAGTGTTTAGATATATTTATTAAATGTTTCACCCAGCCTTTAACAGAGCCACGCTTTTGTTGTTGCTGGGTGTTATCTGTAAATTAAGAAATGTTGCTTAATGAACACACTTAAAACAAGCAGAGTGTCTCTTGCTTTCCCATCCCTTGTCTCTTAGCAACAGGATTTCTCCCAGTGCAGTCCCTGTTACTTCAGGGCCATATCCACGATACCCTCCCTAATTCTTCCTGGTTTTTTTTTTCCTTTTTAGAGGCCCTGCTAAAAGATTTGAGTAACTTCATCAACCCCTTGGCAGAAGTGATAAAGCAGAACGAGATAAAATCAAACAATGAGTCGCTCTGGCAACAGAAACTTTGCTGAATAAATCAGAAGTCCCTTCATCTCGATACTGTTTGTAATGAAAATTCCTCTCCTGTGAAGGATATAACAAGTTAAAACAGCTGGGGTAGAAATTTAGGGCTTTTTAGCTGCCTGAAACACATTGAAGGGATTTGTAGGGACATGGTACCTTCTCATTTATGAATATCTTAATTGCACCAGAATCCTCTGTTTCCTCACTAACACATAACTTAAATCATGGAACATTTCCAAATCAATCAAACATTCAGGTTACTGTATTTATGTGTAGAAAAGCCCCCAAGCAAACAGAAATATCCTCTGCCTCCCCCCAAAAATCCAAGTGTTGCTGGTTTCCTTGTTTATTCCTCACTTGCTGGACATGGTGGTGAAGAATATTTATAAGTTAAAACAGCTGGGGTAGAAATTTAGGGCTTTTTAGCTGCTTGAAACACACTGAAGGGATTTGTAGGGGTGTTGTGCCTTCTCATTTATGAATATCTTAATTGCACCAGGATTCCTCTGTTTCCTGATACATAAGTTGTGTCATCCTGTGTTTCTAACTCAATCAGACGTGCAGGTTACTGTATTTCTGTATAAAAAAGCTCCCAAGCAAACAGAAATAACCACTGTTCCCCCCAGAATCCAAGTGCTTCCTTGTTTATTCCTTGGTTGCTCCAAGTGGTGGAAGTTCTGTGAAGGCAAAGGAGTTCAAATGCTGCTTCTGGATGGTCTCAGGTGTCGGGTTTAACAGTTTTAAATCTTGGATTATGCCTTTTGAAATCTCTTTTCAGTGCGAGACTCGAGCCTGCTGGAAATCAAGGAAGACACGGATCTGGATCCAGAGGAGAACAGCAGTGTCTTCATGGGAATTCTCATCAAAGGGCTGGCCAAGCTGAAAAAAATCCCAGAGACAGTGAAAGCCATCCAGGATCGCCTGGAGCAGGAGCTCAAGCAGATTGTGAAGAGATCCACGACTCAGGTGGCTGACAATGGTTACCAGAGAGGGGAGAATATTTCCCAGGAAAACCAGCCCAGGTAAGGATATTCCAGCCACTTGGATTGCTGGGAAAAAAAAAAAAAAAAGTCCTAATTGAAAAATTCAGCTCAGTTATTTGGCAGAGCCCAGTTGAGCTGAGGCAGGTGCAGAGCTTTGAAATCGTGTAGGGAATTAATTATGTCACAAAATTATCTCACAAAAAAAAGATGATATCACAAAACCCAAGTCTCTTAAATGGTTTTGCAGCCCCATTTCTGTTGGTGGCAAGGGGTGGGAGCCAGCTGAGAACTGTGCTTGGGCTGCTCCTCAGGATCCACTAGAACTGTTCTTGGGAAAAACGGGATTCCGGAAGGGCACGTTGTCAGGATCGTCGTCCAAAGGGAGTTGTTGTGGGAGAGGAAAACGTTGCATCTTCATTGTAGGTGATATTTGCAGTGCAGAATCACTCCCAAGGACGACATTAGCTTGATAAAGACCTCTTTTTTTAATTCCTCTCGTTAGCATTGCTGTGCAAACAGTGGCGTTGTGAAGGATTTGCAGAGTTACAGTGCTGAGAACTCAGGAAAATGAAAACAAGCTTTTTTTGTGTGGATCACAAAGCACAATTTGAGTTTCTGATGCCAGAAGGGAGCGTAATATCTGCTTGATACTTATTTTATGAATCAGTCTGGAGGGGTTGGGTGGCTCCGGGTTGTCCATTGAAATGGATAAATTGGATCAGATCATATATTAATGACATTAACCTGCCCAGAGGGCTGAGTGAGGCACAAAAAAGTTTGATGGGTTTTGGCACGTGTAGGGGAGTGTGAGCCTTTGAGATGCTCATATTCCACAGCTTGGGAAAGTGTCTTGAATTCTTGCTGAACACAGAGATAATTAGAACTGATTGTAAACCTAAATCACATGTGAAGTTTACAGCAAGCAGGTGAATTCGTTTACATTGAAAAGAATAAATTATGGCAGGGAAGAGTGTTCCCTCCCCTCAAATTAACTCCAGTTTTAAATCAGAACTCAGCCACTTTCCTCCTGTCAAGGAGAAAATAAACCTGAACAACGAGGTCCTGCTGTTTCAATAGAGCTCTGTAAGACCCCAAATTTGAGCATGATGCAGTGCCCAAAACTGCTTTGAACTGTTCATTAGGCTGTCAGTGCTCCTGTGACCTCAGGAATTTGGGGAGGGAAATGGTTTTTTTTTTCAGTTTTCCCTTAAAACTGCTCACGCTTGGCTGCTTTGAGCCTCTCACTGAGCTCAGTGCCTGCGTTCAGCTGCTCTGCTTCCAGTGGTGTCCATAAAAATTCCCACTCCTGGCAAATAAAATGACTAATAAAGTGACAGAGGGGCCTGTGGGATCTCGAGCCTTGTGCTGGGCAAGTTCCCTGTGGCTCCTTCCCAGTGCTGCTCCAAAGTTGACTCTTATTTTTCCCATGGGAAGAGGGGTGATTGCTTCCCTCCACTCAAGGGAACACATCCACATCCCCATCCCTGCAAGTGTCCAAGGGCAGGTTGGACAGGGCTTGGAGCAACCTGAGATAGTGGAAGGTGTCCCTGCTCATGGCAGGGGGTGGCACTGGATGGGCTTTGAAATCCCTCCCACCAAAAGCCCTCAGGAAGAGCAGCTTGAGATTCCCTGGGATTTGAAGTGATTTGAAAGTTGGAGCCTGGAGGGCTGGAGGGACAGGACACAGGGAATGGCTTCCCAGTGCCAGAGGACAGGGTTAGATGGGATATTGGGAAGGCATTGCTGGCTGGGAGGGTAGGGAGGGGCTGGCCCAGGTTTCCCAGAGAAGCTGTGGCTGCCCCTGGATCCCTGGAAGTGTCCAAGGCCAGGCTGGAGCAACCTGGGCTAGTGGGAGGGGTCCCTGCCCTTGGCAAGGGTGGAATGAGATGAACTTTAAGTTCCCTCCCAACCCAAACCATTTTGTGATACAAGTGATTCCTAAGTTTCCTAAAACATTCAGCATGAATAGATGGGACACAGACTTAGGACAGGCCTAACTAGATGGAGCATCTTTTCAGATACTTTGCTTGGAATATAAACCCTCTTTACTAACACACATTTACTTGCTGTGAGATGGGAATGATACAAAGGAAGTAAAACCTGAGAAGGGGCAGCAACAGGTTCCAAGTTGTTCCTTGTCCCTGGTAGAAGGTGACTTTGGAAACCACACTCTCACCCAGTTGCAGCTGATCTCAGCTTTAATTAAAATGGACCATTTTAAAGGCTGGGTAAATTCTTTGGCATTTTTAGGTCTCTTTGCTTGGAACAAATTTATGGAAAAGGGCTTAAATATAGGAATTGCCACTGCCTTATCCTCAGTTAGTGGTTCTTTAAGGCATGTGTCACACCTTCACGTTTAGAAATGTGGATCTTGGGTGGAAGACAAAGTCACAGAGCCACGGTCAGACTGCTGCAGGAACCTCTGGGTCTCTCCTGGATTTTGGAAGATGTGGCTATAGAATAATAATACCAATACTAATAATACTAATAGTAATCTGGATGCACACCTACTTGAGGGACAGATTTGTGGACATTTTGGTAAGGACACATTAAAATTCCAGCCCGAGAGGGGATGGGGTATGGACAATTTTGCTCCTAAATCCTGTCACTTGGATTTATTGTGCTTTTCCCTACGTGTTCATAATATACTTGTGACTTTTGACCTCGTCTCAAAGCTTTAAAATAACTCCAGGAATTATGTCCATGCCACCACCCTGAGCAGGCAGAGGACATTGCTGCTGCTGCAATGCCTGAGTTGTCACCAGTGACCCCTCTCAGGTGGCAGCAGTCACTCTGCATCAGCTCATTCCCGTTATTCCCGGGACTATGGAAGTTGCTTCCGGGGATGTGTGTCTCTGTCTCTCCACATATTTCTCCCCCTCTCCTCAGCTCAGGGGTCACAGGCTGGCTGTGACAAATTGCCTGAGCCAGGCTCCTGTCACTGCCTGTCCCTGCTCAGCTCAGGTCACTCGGAGCTCCAAGCCCATCTGCATAAAATGTGGGCCACGTTCCGGGATGGGTTTGGGCCGCCCGTGTCCCTCCGGGGTCACCTTGTCTCAAAAATGACCTGACAGATTTATAGCACTGTTGGAGGGCAAGAAGAGAAGAGGGGCTGGCTAATCTGAAAACAGGGAAATGTGGAAATACAGTGTTGGATCAGAATGGAAAATGTAAAGGAGGGGTGGGTACAGACACCGAGAATGCGGCCTGGGGGAATTCCTCTCTGTCAGTCTGTAACACAGCAACAGGGACACCCTGGAATTTAAAAATAAATCCTTCTGTTCAGTACAGTATTCTTTTAGGAATGACTTAATAAACAAGTTGATAATAGTGGCTCTTTAAACAGGTTGACAGCATGAGGTCAGGCTCACCCAGGGACAGTAAAAATGAATTTGTCCGACTCTCCAGCTGGTTCTGCTCTGCCAAACTGTCCTTTCCTGGGGAGGTGGAGAAGTAACTCAGCTCTTGTTTGTAATGGGATGTTGGTAGAAGTTGGGCTTGGGGTGATAAGTTTTCCTAGAGGTAGATAATTCATTTGCTCCCATAATGTTCCTTGGTGCCATTTCAGCCAAGGCTGTTGAGGCTTTTGTTGCTTCTTCTTAAAATACGAAGAAACTCAGCACAAACACCAGTTGTTTGGTTTTTATTTAAATGTGTCTTAGTTCCAGTGGCTCTTTGTTGAATCTTATTGAATCAAGGAAGGCCACAAGTTAGTTAGGACTGGACCACTTTTCCTATGGATACAGGCCGGGAGAGCTGGGAGTGTTCACCTGGAGAAGAGAAGGTTCCAGGGAGACCTGAGAGCCCCTTGCAGGGCCTAAAGGGGCTCCAGGAGAGCTGGAGAGGGATTTGGGACAAGGGACAGAGGGACAGGACACAGGGAATGGCTTCCCAATGCCAGAGGGCAGGGCTAGATGGGATATTGGGAAGGAATTCCTGGCTGTGAGGGTGAGGAGGCCCTGGCCCGGGTTGTCCAGAGAAGCTGTGGCTGCCCCTGGATCCCTGGAAGTGTCCAAGACCAGTATTTGGAGCAACCTGGGATAGTGGGAGGTGCCAGGGTTGGAACTGGATGATCCTTAAGGTCCCTCCCAACCCAAAGCATTCCATGGTTCTATAATTCCATGAAGACTGAAGCGTGGTGGTGAAGGAGCGGGACCAGCTCCGGTTTTTCCCGGATTTCTCGTGTCCTGCTCCGGGAATCGCAGCTCCTGCCGGGCACACACAGCGAGCATGTGGTGACTCCGGAGCTGCTGCAGGGAAAAATGTGATGGAGCCTGTCTGTCAGAGCTGGGAGTGCCTAACATATGGATTTGGGAAGTGTTATCTCCACGTTTTGTTGGGGTTATGTGCCTCCTTGAGTTGCTCATTAAACGCCGGTGAACTCGATCACAATTTTCCTGTTCTCGAATAGTCAAAATGTGATGTCATTGCCTTATCACAAACTATGTAGGGCTCTGCTGAGGTTCATTAATTGCAATAATTGGGCAGTAAGGAAGCCATAGGAGCAGGTAAAATGTAGGACATTGAGATGAGATTATCACTGTAGTAAATACAGTAGTAAAATCATACTGACTGAGGAGACTTGATATTTTAGGTTTCTGATATTTTGCAATGTTTAAAAGCTGCCATATTAATTTAATAGTTCAAAATCAATTTCTTGTGTTCTGTTTGTGTGGGTAAGTCTACTTTTATTGCCTCAAGACTGTTGTTTTCAGCTGAGGGAAGAGCAGGTTGTCTCCCTCCCTGTGTGCAGCCCTGTCTGGGGTCATACAATAATCTCTAATGTGGTGCTACTCTGGAGTTACTCTGGAGTTACTAATGGTTCTGTCTTCCTTGTAGCCCCAAGTAGGACACTTCAGTGTTGTTATAGAGGAGGGAGTGAGGAGAAGGATCCTCAGGAGTATTTATGTCCCAAACCTGAGCTGAAATTAGAACCCACAGAGAGGGTTTGAAGCCCGGTGACCTCTCAGCATCTGTCACCAAACAGAACACGTGAAGGACACTCTTCTGTCTCCTTCCCACTGCTCTGTTGTGCTGGATGACTGTTTGTGCCCGTGGAGCCTTGTGGCAGCTGAGCAGAGGTTGCTTTGATGGTTTCCAGGTTGCTGCTGGAGCTGCTGGAGCTCCTCTTCGACAAGTTCAACGCGGTGGCCGCCGCGCACTCGGTGGTCCTGGGGCACCTCCAGCAGACAGTGGCCTCTCCCTGCAGCCAGCACGATGGGGACATCAAGCTCTACGACATGGTTGACGTGTGGGTGAAGATCCAGGATGTCCTGCAGGTAAGAGTCCTCCAGGTGGGCGCCTTTTCAGCTTTTACAACAGCTTTTAGAACCAAAAATACCGGTGCGAGCACCTGTCGTGCTCAGGAGACAGCAGTGCTGGGGTTTGTCTCGGTTTTTGGGAAGTGGCCACGTTTATAACAGATTGTGAAACTCCAGAGAGAGCTTAAATATCAGCAAAAAAAAGTTGAAAAAAATTCTGTGGGTTCATCCTTCTGGTGTCTGGAAAGGTTTGATTCCTTTTGCCTACCGAGTGATTTATCAGCAGCTTTCAAACAGTGACATTTTTGTTCTGTTGTTACCGTGTCATCGCTGTCTTATGAGGTGTCACAGCTCTAATGGCTTGTCTTCTCCTGTCACTGTGGCTGGGCTGCAGGCAGCTGAGACACTTGTTTTCAGGAAATTCTTATTTGATTCTTACTCTTGACTCTGAGAGACTAAAGCTGTGCCTTGCTCGGGCTTTATTCTGGGACTGTGCCTTTCACCTCAGTGTGTGAGGCTCTCTCAGAGCTCTCACCTCTCACGTGCCTTCTTGTGTTCTCTCCTTCTTGCTGGGAGGCTCACACATGAATATTATATTTCCTCCTTTATTTATTTGGGAATTGCCTTTATATACAGTGCACAGATGTAGAGCCTCACCTGGGATTTGAGAGAGGAGGTCAAAGAAATGAGCCTGGCAAGATTTATGGTGGTCATTCCACCGCTGGGCTGTTGATGGAAAGTGCTCTCTGCCTCCTCTCCTAACAGGAATTTTCATTGCAGGGCTATTATTTAGTTGTTGCTCTGCAGGTTTGTTTGATTGTGCAGCGATGGAGGGGTTTTTTTGCTTACCCAAATACCCAGCTCTGTGCACGGTGTGAATTTAATACCTCTTGAACCTGCTAAATGTAAGGTTTGGGCCTTGGATCACCTCCAGTGGCTCCTTACCCCAATTATTTGTCTTTCTAGAGGAATTGTTATTAAATAAACCTCCAGCTGTTTTCTCCATGACACAAAGTTTCACCTTCTTTCAATGCTGTTTTTGCAAAAGTTTGGTTGGGGATGTGCAGCCAGAGGTTCCTGAGGGGTTTCTAAACAAAAGGCTGTCACAGAACTGAAGTGTCTGGCCCTATTAAAGGGCACAATTAACCTTAAAGACATGAGGAGTGGCTTTGGCACTGGAGACCTCCAGCCCTCACCTGTGATCCAGGAGGTTTAAGAGCCCTGAGTTCTGCAGACTTTGCTCCAGAGAGGACAAAGCCTTGGGAGTAAAAACCCTCCCGAGATTTTCCCTCCGGCGTAGCAGAACACCAGGGCTGGATATTCCCCTTCTCTGGGGGAGTTTGGGGGGTGAATTTGGAGCAGTTTATCCTGGCTATCCCAAAAACAGGGATGATGGAACCTGAACACAGAAGCATGTGTAGGTGTGAGCATTTAGGGAGTGAAAAGCGCTTTCTGTGCTGGGGAGGCAACATTTGACCAAACTTTCTGTGAAAGGCGTGCCAAGAAAAATGCAACCACCCACTTGCAAAGGTTTCATTGATACTGGGTGTCAGAGGGAGGCAGAAAAGCTTCCAAGAGAGCTTTTACAATGCTTAAAAGCAGCACTTTAAGATCCATAATTTCTTGCTGGTTTAGGGTAAGAGATGAGCACTGACTGACGTGGAAAGGAAGAAACGTTGCATTTCTTTGTTCACAATCTTGTGGGTGTTTGTGCATTAGTTCCCTTGGAGTGGCTTAAAATATTTGTCCTTTACAGTGTAAGAAAACCTTTGATCCCAAAGCCTGAATTATTTCTATCCTGCTTTTCTGAATAAGGATAATTTTCAGAAAGAGGGGGAATCTTACCTTTGCGGCAGGGGGAGCAGAAAACTCAGTTTTAAAAGTGTTTATTTAAACCTTCCTGCTGAAAATCTGGGGGGAAGTGGCAAAGTGCATCAGGGAAAGGGATGCAGTTCCTTCAGATCCTGGTGAATGCAATTCAGTCACCACATCAGAACAGTCTCCCATGGCTGCAGCTCACCTGGATAATGTCCTGTACGTGCACATTGTTCGTCTCTGCGTGTGAAGTACATTAGAGCAAGGTTATCTCTCCAGCTCTGCCCTAAATCAGGTGAACTCGTGGTAAGCTGCAAATTGTCTCCTGTGGGAAATGAGTTGTTTTCAGCTTGTTTTTGTGGCTGGATTTCTGAAAGCTCCCTAAAAAACTGCAACGAGCACCGCGTGTGGGGTCAGAGGTGGCTCGGTGTTGAGCAATGTTTAGGCACAGAACATGCAGATATTCAGTATTTTTGACCTTCTCTGAGAATGGAAGAATAATACAAAAGACAGAGTGACCTTTTAGAGCCGGGTGCCGGAGCGGTAGAAAACAAACAAACAAACAAAAAAAGCAGTTTGTCAAAATATTAGGGCAGGAAAACACAATTTGGAGTTATTTCCTGGTGCCAGAGCCAGCGGAGCTCGTGGTGCTGCTGCTGCTGCTGCACCAACAGGACAGGGGTGAAACGTGTTTAAATTTGAACTTGGTGCTTTGTGTGGGGAGGTAACGGAGCTCTGCAGTGTAGGAGTGGGAGGAACATCCTTCTGAGCTCTCTAATTACTGCAGGAGCCTGTGCTGGGCTGGGAGAGCTGAGCCCTGTTCCTGCAGCCGTGGAATGATGGGAATAGTTGTGTTGGGATAACGCAGGGAGGGAATTCTGGGGTTTTCTGGCGCAGTTCAGTGTCTGTGATGTGTCCTACAGATCACAGACCTGCTGGAGTGAGGTCCTGGAGCTGCTCCAAGGGCTGGACCACTTTTCCTATGGAGCTGGGAATGTTCACCTGGAGAAGAGAAGGCTCCAAGGAGACCTTCCAGTGCCTAAAGGGGCTCCAGGAGAGCTGGAGAGGGACTTGGAACAAGGGATGGGGGGACAGGACACAGGGAATGGCTTCCCAGTGCCAGAGGGCAGGGATGGGTGGGATATTGGGAAGGAATTCCTGGCTGGGAGGATGATGAGGGCCTGGCCCAGGTTGTCCAGAGAAGCTGTGGCTACCCCTGGATCCCTGGAAGTGTCCAGGGCCAGGCTGGGCGGGGCTTGGAGCAACCTGGGATGGTGGAAGGTGTCCCTGCCCATAACAGGGGGTGTCACTGGATGATCCTTAAGGTCCCTCCAACCCAAACCATTCCATGATTCCATCATTTTCCCAGCCCAAACGATGGGACAGGCTCAATGCTCTACGTGCTTGGGGAGAAACCAGAAGGTTTTGGGTCCAGCACAGTTTTGTGTCATTTTACTTTCTTAGTCAGTGCCAGATCTTCTGACACTTCATCCATTGCTTCTCAGCGCCGTCTTTTGATGCCTTGATGGGATTGTTGCCTCTGTCCCTGCTCAATAACACCAGAGATCATTCAGCTTCTTCAGGAATGTCACCCTTCTGGTGACAGGGTGATCACCCTGGCAGCTCTTCTGTCTCAGTGCATTCCCCTGCTCCTGGAGGAACCACCCGAGCCAGCTCCATGTTGTCCCGTAACCAGCTCAGGCTGGAGCTCTTTGCCTCCAGAGGAACAAATCTTCTCTCTTTCTGTGGTGCTGGAATCTGTAGTGGATGATTCTCAGTTTTATCTGTTTTCTTGCTCCTGCAGAAGAGAGGGAAAATCACATGTAGGCTTAGGACATTTATTTTAGCAGGCTCTGGTGATCTGTCTGCTGAGGAGACTCTCACAACTAATGCTTTCCTTTTTTGGGGGGTGTTTCTGTCTAATGCCTTCGGGTGTTTTCCAAAAATGGTGTCATTTAGCAGCCTAAACATTGCTGAAACCATAAGGAAACTGGAGCAGGAGGAACTTGAAGCCTCCTCTGTGCCCACACACTCCTGTCGTGCTGCTGCAGAGCTGGAGGGATCAGACACTTGATTGAGAAGCCTCTCTTAGTTACCCTGTGATGCTCCACCACCCTTAAATCCTTCCCTATAAAGAGGAATGGCATTGGAGGGAGGGAGATGGGATCCTTCTGGAGCTCACAGCCAGATCTGGTGATCAGCAGTGGGAGTGATCCTGCAGAAAAGCTGCTCTTAAATTGTCCTCGCTGCATCCCACTTGTCCAGGAGTCCTGTGGGAGCACCTGGAGATGGATTTCAGGGCTGTGCTGCTGCAACCTGAGTCACCCCGTGGCTTTTAAGTGAATTAATGGCCTAAACTGTTGGATCCCTTTGGCACACAGGGAAAAGGTGCTGATGTTCAACGGGTGGAAAAGATGTGCAGAGGTTTGAACTCTGTGCCAACACATCCCAGCCAGCTGTGCTGTCATCCCATTCCTTCCTTTTCCACAACCCAGGATGTTTTCCTTGCTCTGGCAGCGCTGCTCGTTCTCCTGACAGGAATCTAATTGGAGGGAGTTGATTTGGCCAAGACTTTGCTGCTGGCTGGGTTTGCTGCCTGCTCAGGTCCCTGAACTGTGGCAGGGCTGGCACGGGAATGAGTGAGGGAATGCACCATGGAAAAGGGAAGGGTTTATCCTGGCAGCTGCAGCTCCCATCATCCCGCTCCACGGAGCTGCACCTCAGGGTGCTCATGGAAAACCCAAATGCTTTTTGCCCTGGGTGGCTCAGCAGAGTCTGAACCTTTGCATTTAAAGGCTGAACGAGCCGTCTGTGACACAGTTAATACTTAGAAAGTCAAATCAGCTTCTTGCACGAGGGCTGTTAACGTGCCATAAATCCTGCTGGAAATGTCAGAGCAATATCTGAAATTGCTGTTGCATTTGGGAAGTTCACAGGGTAATGTTTTGAACCTGAAGCAGTGTTATTTTTTCAGAAAGTCTCTTCTCGGGAATTTAATGGTTGTCCTCAAAATAAGGTGCCTGACAGTCCTCCTGGTTCTTTTTAAGTGGTCCTCAAGTGTGTGGAACTGATGCCCTTGGACTCCTGACTGGTGTGTCTCATTAATGCTCATCTCCATGAGCTGAGAGGATGTTGGTCCTAAAAGTGATTTGTCTGCAGCTTTTAAAACAACACAGTTTTACTCAATCTCTTGCAGGGCAGAG